AAGCTTCATATACCTACTCTGCAAGTTAATGACTACAAAACCCAGAACCTTTAATTTCTTTACAGGCAGTCCAATGCACTGAAGATGCTAAAAGGCAACAGGTGTACCAATAACCTATTATATTATATGCAGACATTGCAGTGTGTGATTCTTTACTTGATCTCATTCTTCAATCGCATTCTGTAGTTAAGAAAAATCATGTATTCCTGACCCTACAGTGTTAAAAACACTATCTAGCCCCTCCTGGCCCCAATTGCCTCTCTAAACACAGTAAAATCTTATCTTATTTCCAGCACATCACAGGTTCACTGGTGCTGGCTCCGCCCTGATCCACCTCCTTGACTGACATCATCAGAAGTGATGATCTCAGCCAATCACAATGCTTTCCTATAGGAAATTACTGCCCTGACCAAAGCATGGAGACGCTGAACGTCAGTGCTGCACAAACACTGTGCAGCACTGACCCAGGAAGCACCTCTAGTGGCAGTCTGAGGAGTGGTCACTAGAGGTGTTCCCAGGCTGCAATGTTTCTCTGAAAAAGCAGTGTTTACAACAATAAGCCTGCAGGGACTGATTAAACTCACCAGAACAACTACAATAAGCTAAAGTTGTTCTGGTGACTATAGTGTCCCTTTAACTTTAATTGGAGACTTTACTAAGAGATATTTGTGGTGTATGTGGTGTTATATATACACAAACAGATATTTTAAGGTATTGTTTATTTAATTAATGTTTTTGATGGTCCTGTTAAAGTGTTCATCAACAATAAATCTTGAATGTTCAACATAAAATATCGGGCCCATTGCCCCTGATCCAATTATGGTAAATGTGCTCTTAAAAGTGTCAGAACTGTGGTATTATGATTACATGGACATTGTTGATGGCTCATTGGAAACCATTGATGTGTTGATAAATATTGGATTGCAGATTGTAATGTCATTAGTTGTTAGGAGACATCTAGTAGTTCCTATTTGCACCTCCTTTATTTAATTTACAATGCATTTTTGGGAATCAGAGACTCATTAATTTCACAATTTGCTACCATTCATTTTATCTTTTTTATTTATTGTATGTATTAAATTATGAGACTATATTTAAAAGAAGAAAAACTACAACAACAAGAGGACATAGTCTTAAATTAGAGGGGCAAAGGTTTAAAAATAATATCAGGAAGTATTACTTTACTGAGAGGGTAGTGGATGCATGGAATAGCCTTCCAGCTGAAGTTGTAGAGGTTAACACAGTAAAGGAGCTTAAGCATGTGTGGAATAGGCATAAGACTATCCTAGCTATAAGATAAGGCCAAGGACTATTTAAAGTATATAGAAAATTGTGCAGACTAGATGGGCCGAATGGTTCTTATCTGCCGTCACATTTTATGTTTCTATGTTTCAAAAATGTTTCTATGTTTCTATGTATTTGGTTTATCTTTTTGTTCTGAATGCTCCATACAATTATTTTCTACACAGTTTTTTTTTTCCATATAATGAAATATGCAATATAACTTCTGTCACTATGGAATATTTCATTAGCCTGATTTTTTAGAATCTTCAGCTTATGCTCTTCTACAGGTACTTGGTTATTTATTAGCCCTTGTCCTCACCTCATGCTGTTAAGAGATGACACCACCTATCTTTTTCCTTCTGGGGTTACTATATTACATAGTTACATAGTTACATAGCTGAAAATAGACTTGCGTCCATCAAGTTCAGCCACATTTGTTTTTTGCTGTTGATCCAAAAGAAGGCAAAAAACCCAGTTTGAAGCACAATTTTGCAACAAGCTAGGAAAACAATTCCTTCTTGACCCCAGAATGGCAGTCAGATTTATCCTTGATCAAGTAGTTATTACTCTACATTGAAAGATTATATCCTTGAATATTCTGTTTTTGCAAGTATGCATCTAGTAGCTGTTTGAACATCTGTATGGACGCTGATAAAACCACTTCTTCAGGCAGAGAATTCCACATCCTGATTGTTCTTACAGTAAAAAATTTTTTCTTTTGGCTCAGACAAAATCTTCTTTCTTCCAGTCTAAACGAATGACTTAGTGTCCTATGTAAAGTCAGGTTTGTGAATAGATTTCCACACAATGGTTTGTATTGGCCCCTAATATATTTGTATAATGTTATCATATCCCCTCTCAGGCAACGTTTTTCTAAACTAAATAGGTTTAATTTTGTTAACCTTTCTTCATAGCTGATATGTTCCATTCCTTTTATTAATTTTGCAGTATACCCTCCCTTCCAGACCCTCCCACCTCCTGGACAGCTCACTAAGAATGCAGCTTCACAATGAATGTAAAATGGATGCTGTCCAGGAGGTGGAAGGGTCGGGGAGGGAGGGTCTGCTGCTGATTGGCTGGAATGTGTCTGCTGACTGTGAGGTACAGGGTCAAAGTTTATGTTTGCCGTCTGTGGCGAACCGTTTGGCGAACCGTTCGGCGAACCGTTCGGGACATCACTAATGAGGAGTTATATATATATATATATGTATACATATATACTACTTAAACACAATATATATATATATATATATATATATATATATATATATTCATTAAATATGTAATATATAAAGATTGACTTTCTTACTGCTCCTTTTTTTATCCCTCTATTGTTCTCTCGTGATCTGTGAATATAATCAACATTTAGTGACTGCCTTCTAGCCGTCATTCAACTTTTGTCCCATCAGTCATCATTTTTTTTTGTCACCAGAGGCACAATTCAGAATTACGAATCAAAACAAATATTTTCGACCACTGCACATATTGTTTGTGATTCTGGGACATTTCGGCTCAGAGTTTGGGAAGTCGACCGATCACCCGATTGGTCCAAATTCAATAAAATTTGCAAGTCTATTGCATATAGTGTTGCATATTTTAGGTCAAACTAGCAAAGGCAAAATAATTCTCCAACTATTGCTTTTTCTTCCAGAATAACAATTTTGAACTGAATTTTAAAATTTTCTTATCTGTTCCTCAGATTAACTGAATAGGCCCTTATTCAAACTCAGTTTATTGTAATCCATTAACAAAAATGATAACATCATATTTCAACTTTAAACCATATTCCATTGTGAGATATATATTAAAGTATTTCCAATGTTGCCTTGTAATTATAGCTTATAGAAAATATTAGTAATATCTATAGAATAAAGCATTACTATACATTCCTGAAAATTTGCAAATTGTTGCAATTAATTTCTAATGTAATTTGATCATTACAAAATTAAGTTTATTATTTGTACAGCTTGGTTTACAGAGTATATTTAGTAGCTCAGATGTTTGGAGAATAGCCGGACACTTTGACATATGTAGTTTTATGGTGGTGGTTCACGAGAAGTACAAATTTGCATGCACTTTGCAAAATGACGAACGACATCTAGACTTCAGAGATATGCCAGCAGAAAAAAGCACAAAAATGCCATATGTATTTCCATATCAATGACCCAAGGGATGTAAACATTTGCATGTATCTAACACTATGATCGAAGTATATCCTTGTACTGATTTTTAATTAACATATGCAAGGGAAAGTCAAAGCAAAAAGGTAATGGGTTGAATCGCTGAAATTGGGAACTGTCCTAGATGATACCCTGGAGCCTAAGTTTAAGGAACTGATGCTATCTGAGAAAATACAATTTTTACAGAAAACAAAACAAAAAAATTAAAAGTTAGAATGCAACGTGAACAAAAATAAATAATGACTTGTTTGAGATAAATCTCACTCATGCATTGCATTTAAATAGTTTTATGCAATATAGATATAAGAAATTAAAAACTGCATTAAAAATATAAAATAAAATATTTATTCAACTCTGAACGTTCCTGGCACTAATGTAGCTGCAACAGCCAGACGGAGAATTATTCAGGACGGATTTTACAGTTGCAAAGTATGCAAATACTCAAAAGCCTTTAAATTATATCTAACTGCTATTTTTATGCAATTCTTTGTATTAAGCAATACAGACACAGTACAGTGTAATGTCACATGCTCAAATCAGCAGGCAATATAAAATGATTTTACATGTTTCATAGATAGTGATTAATTTAACAAAAACTCAAATGTTATTAGTTGAGGAATCAACATTGGGGTCTAGTAATAGGTTGAAATACTGACATAGAATTATGTTGGTAGTCAGTGGATTTTCTAGTATTGTGGTGAACACAGGAATCGGGTTTCTGTGGAAGGTATACTTTTGCCAAAGTCAATAGTACGCCATGAATTGCATATATTAAATATCAATTTTGTACAATTTTTAACTTTTAAAAAGTTGCACTTTAAGGTGTTCCTTAAAAAAACACTGATGTGCCACCCCTCTTGGTATAATTAAGGGAGCTGAAGACATGGGGAAAAGCTGGGTGCTCAAAATGTGGCATATTTACCCAAGTGAAGTATGTTTACTGGATACACACTAGACTATGTCAATTTGCTTTCTATTCATTTTGTCTCACAATAATCTCCTCTTGTGAGGGGAGTTAAGACCCCACACATTAAACGTTGCTATTTGCCCACACTTACCCAGGCCTCCTGGGACAGCATAGTAGAACAATACCTCCCCCATGAATCGTGCATTGAGAAAGACTTAAATTACTCTTACATAGATAAGAACATTGTCTGGGAATTCCACTTAGTCAGAGACACCATTTGGGCCCACACCCTCACACTCTCACTATGTCCCATAGTACCGTTACCATGTCCCCTGAAATCATCTACAGAGTTTATGACTACGGATTCTTACACATACTCTTTAAAATAAGGTTCAAGATCTGTGGTGAGTATGGAGTCTGAGATCCGCCAAATCCTGACCTTGTTTCTCCTTGTTTGATCCTCCAAGTCTGTAGGTTTGTGCTCTAGTTGTGATGTCTGGTCTGCTAACCCCTTGTGCTCATCATCATTGTATAATTCAATAATGTTGTCCATTTTGTGTTTCAACTTATCCATCCTCTCTCCTAGTTCTCCTATGGTCTTAGCTAGCTCTGAGGTAATTATAGAAAGGTCAGATTGCAACTCCTTCTGTAGGTCCTGTAACATTAGCTTCATCTCGCCTGTGACGGCTGCTGACTACAGTACGTTTGCAGCCAAGGTTGAGGAGTCTGAGGCCTGTTCGTCTGGCCAAGATGGAATCCTCCTCTGTTGCCGCCAGGTTTTTGCAGTTGTCCACAGCAAGAAGTGTGTTTAATTTTGACTGATTCTTCTTGGGCTTAGTAACGGTCATGGCTTGCTATTTATCAGCACAAAAAGCCAGTTTAACAGTCACCAGCTCTGGTGTTAGCGTAGCATTAGGTCTATGCAACCATGTCTTTCGCACTTTAGACCATGTCCCCATCTAGCTGCTATTTTATTTGTTTCATGCAATTATTCCATAACTAACATTTGACTGAACTGTAACTACAGAGAGAGCTACTCTATACAAATCAAATTATTATTTTATTTTTTTAATAGAGAAATTTGCACTTATATATATATATTTATATATCTTCATTTTCTTATTTCATTTTTTGAGCTAAGAAGTTAATCTAGTGGATTCCTCAAGGAACAAAACCATTGACTGGAAGTACTGTTTTCTGAAAAAATATAAAACTTGATGGTTCTGTCCCAAATCCACAAGAAATACAATGAAAAGTATGAAAGAAAAAAATATTATTTTACTTTTGTTGCTCCTTAAAATTTATTGATCCCCCCATAATACAGGCATTATTATATAACTTTTCATTAAGTAAATGTTATGTTGCATGTCATGGATAGAAAGAGCACAAACAGGCTTATAAAGACATCGTATTATAATTCTCTAAACAGAAATTATGGAACAAAGACTGTACATCAACATCTGAGGTGTCCAGTCAATCAGCACATTAAGTGATTTTTTGCCACAATCCCTTTATCTAGGTTGGTCAGAAGAACCTTTTTCCTGCAAGCACTCCCAGTGGTACTTGCCTGCTCAAAGACAACGGGTTTTTACAGTCAGCTGCTGAAAAGCATTACTGAACAGCTGATCAATATCTAGAGGACTCTCAGCTTTGTGCCAACATATGTTATGCAGATTTTGCCAATAAGTACAAAATCTGGATTTTTTTTAACCCACGCTCAACTATCAATAAATAATGCACATATAAGCTGAAACCCAAATCTATTGTTTTTTATTATCATTTCTTAAAAAGCTAGTTGAAAAGTTGGAGATTACTGGTTAAACTCAATAATTTTAGATAAAACTGGGCAAAATATATTTAGAAAATATCTCAAAAAACACATCTCAACAAAAAAACTAACAACTGCTTCAATCATCAGCACAAATCCATTTATGATACATAATACAGATGAGAAAATGCTGTATGTGTCAGCATGAAGCACATTTAAGTTGAAATGAAGCAAGTTCTTAATATATCCTTTACTCCAGAGCATTCCATTCTTTTTTTTTCAGGTAAAACTTTGGGGTTGTTTGTCTTCTTGACGGATGCGTTCCAGGACTGGCAGCCATATTTTTTTGTATTCCATTTAAAGGGCCCTTCCAGCCACGTACATGTTTGATGCAGTGCGCTAGTTGTTTTTTTTAGCAATCTATTTTAGATTTGTTTAAATTTTAAATAAGCCCACTTTCTTGACCTTCCCAACCAGCAGTGTTTCCTATTTTCAATCAAGAATTCATTGATATATGTTATCATGACTTATATTCCAGAAAGCTGGAAATGTATCTACAACTCACAGAACCACATGGTGTGAGCCCAAAGGGCTCCTTATTGAAAAAAATCAAAGAAAGTTAGTGAGATGAATTGCTTCCTGGTTTTGTGGGTGCTCACTGCAGTTGCTGTGCAGTCTATGGTTTTTAGCAAACTAAAATAAAATTGTATTATTATTTTTATGTATATATTTACTCATCTAAATAATTCCTTTAAACAAGAGGCCACCTCCAGCCTGGCATGGCCCTTTAACACTTTGCTTAACAAAGTTCTCTATTTCTCTGTATTTTCTAAATACAAATAAATTATCTTTGGAGATAATTAATATCACACAAATCTCTGTTCAAATAACACTTTAAATGCAATGTTATTTTGCAATTTAGAAACAATGTTACAATATGCTTTCGATGTCTTTGTGCATGTTACATAAGTTCACTGATCATTAAGAAAATAAATGAGGGTGGGATAACGGGATGGTGGCTCTTTTGAGAATTAATTTGCATTTCAAGACAAGGACATTCTTATTCAAGATTTGCATGTATTTAGTTAAATATTTTGAACCGCATGTATGTCTGTGATAAAGAGACTTTCTTTTAATGTATAGCAATAACCTGCATAGTTCAGGTGAGAGACAAATGAGAGTTTAAAAACAATATACAGTATCAAAATAGATTTTCAAGACACTCCCGTGAGCTTTTGTAATGTGCAGAAAACCAGTTATGTTCTTATAGGTTAGCAGAACCATGAGAACGAATTCTGAGCACTGGTAATATTTACAGATAAAATGCTTTACTGTATAGAGCAGGGGTAGGCAACCTTATGCACTCCAGATGTTGTGGACTATATCTCCCAGAATAGTCTTAATTCCATAATGCAGGCAAAGCATCATGGAAGATGTAGTCCACAATATTTGGGGTGCCAAAGGTTGCCTACACCTGGTATAGAAGTTCAAAGAGTCAGGCATGGTACTGACAAGGAAAATACTGTTAAGGGGTAATCTGAATAACCAACTGAAGACAAAGAGAAAAGTTTAGATATGCAGCAAGACAATGACCATTCCTCAATAACAGGGGAACAATAGGAACCCTTAACTTGAAAATAACAAGCATGTATTCTTTAGGGTAAATGGAGTTGGTATCAAGGAACAGCAAAGTGTATCTAGAGGAAATATAGAAAGATAGCAATAAAAAATATCACCCGTTAGCTTCACCAGATAGTGTGACAGATTCATCTGTATTGCTGGTTCGTCTGTTTCCCTTTGTTCGCTGGATTTCCTGTTCGTATACCCCCGTTCGTGTAATTTGCAAACTACCGATTGAAACTACCGAACGAACGACCACCCAGGAGAGGAGTGTGCTGCTGGTTAACCTCTTGGCCCCAATTAGAACGTTGTGGTTAACCGCAGACACCTCTCCATTCCATTCGTACGGGTGGTCGTCGTTCGCATGTCGACCACGAGGCAGCGGCCATTTTGGGACACACGAACGCATAGCGGTGTTCGGTACAAACTGTATGGAACTAAAAACGGACACTTAAACTACCGAACACCGCTGGAAGCTGATGCCCACCTTCTATTTCGACAAGGCATGCGAACGTCGGTCGTTCGGGAGTTTTTATGCATTCGTATGGACTTTTACCCAGACAGTCGTCCCATGGAGTCATTCGTATACCGAAGGACTGGTGAAAGACTTTGACTCCATGGCGATTCGACTAGATACATCGGATCTGAGCGCTCTTCTGTGAAAATGTGCACTCAGATCCAGGCTGTCTGGGGATGCATTACACGAACTATATTCATTCGGTATTTCTTCAGTTATGTATTTTAATGTATTTTTACTACTGTAATTTAAAATGGCGATTGTCTCTACCCTGGGAGATAATTAGGTTTCTTCCTAATTATCTCCGGGGTAGAGAAGACGGATTTATGGGTAAGATGGGAAGGGCTTATATTGAAGCCACTGTGATTGGCTACTGTCTAATATATTTTACAGTCTTCCACAAGGTCCCCTCGGGGAGTGTCCACCTTGTGGAGACCTGCATAAATACCGGGCCGGTAGTCCCCATTAAACAGATCTTTATTTGACCCTCAAGACGGAGCTTGGTCTCGTTTGTGGGGGAATTATTACTGGGACAGCGCTTTCATTATTCTTAGCTGTGGAAGGCGTTCGACTGTTTTGCTGATCGGGAGTTGCCGTGTTCGCGGACTTCGTTCGGGAGTTTGGCGGTCGGCTGGATATAAACTGCATTTCTGGAGAAGGGGATTATTTACTAAACGGCGGCTTCATCTACCTGGCGGTTAGTGTCTTAACAATTGGTGGCAAGCCCAGAAGGCCAGCTACACATCCCAGGTTGGAAATGCAGTATGAAGAGTTAAGGCGTGCTACCCTTAAAGATATATTAGAACGCAGAGGACGATCAGTGAGTAATCTCAAGAAAAGGGAGATTATTGCCATACTATTGGAAATGGATGCAGCACAGGGAACGGGAAGAGCTGATGTGCCTGGCATACTGGAGTTAACACCCGAGGAGATACAATTTAACCGGGCAGTTCAGATCAGGCTGGCACATTTTGGCCCCAACCCCGCAGCAGATATTGTGGTTCAAGTGCAAGCAGCAGTAGCAGCACAACAGGCGCTTCAAGGAAGAGGCGCTGCAGCAGCTGAGGTACCGTATAATAATAATGGAAGGAGAAAAGTACCTTTTGCTGCATTTCGAAATTTTGTAGAAGCCGAAGGAGAAATTGATGGGTTCCTGGCTGATTTTGAAAGGCAATGTGCCTTACACCAGGTACCCGCAGGGGAATGGGTCACCATCCTCTCTGGGAAGTTATCCGGCCGGGCCAGTGAGGCGTTTCGGGCCATCCCGGAGGAGGAAATTACCAGCTACAGGGCAGTGAAGGATGCCCTTTTGGCCAGATACGCTGTGACCCCTGAGGCGTACCGGCGACGATTCCGGGACACTAACAAACAGGCTGGTGATTCTTATGTTGAGTGGGCATGCCGAGTACACCGCACCGCAGCCCACTGGATGGCAGGGTGCCAAGCGGTAACTGGGGAAGAAGTGCTGCAAGTATTTTTGTTGGAGCACTGCTTTGACCGCTTACCTGCAGGAGTCAGAGAGTGGGTTAGGGACCGTAAACCCGCTACCTTACCCGAAGCTGCTTGTCTGGCTGATGAGTACACTGATGCCAGGAAACTGGACCAGACAGCAGCCAAGGTCCCTACCCGAGTGGAGTACAAACCAGCAGCCCCTCCAACCACTGCAGTGTATCAACACCCAGCGCAACGCACCCCCACCATGCCAACAGCGAACAATTATATTCAGCCAGCCCGGTTCAACGCCCGGGATTACTCACAGCCTATCCGGTGCTATGGGTGTAAGCAGTTGGGGCACAAGCGACCCGAGTGCCCACTAAACAATTCTAGCCAAGCCCAGTCATGGAGAAGACCAGCCGGCGGGAACCAGCAGCCACCCCAACCTTCCGCTCACTGTCTTGAGCAGGAGGAATTTTGGGGTATACTACATGAGGCGGATCCAGTAC